CAGAAAGTGCACACATGTGATGCATACGCACATATACACGTGTACTTAGAACTTCAGATATATAAACATGGTGAAACACAATTGGAATGTCACCAATAAATTCAATCTCTTGTCTTAAAAAGGGTTTGTAAATCATTACACTTCAGAAACCTCTTGAAATAAGTTAAGTGTCTCCAAAAAATATAATACCTGAAAGATGTCTGCATGTATCTTCTCAGGCTTGGCTTAAATGCTGTGGACCCCAAATATATGGATGATAAATTAACTTTTTTAAAAAATGAAATTAAAAACCAACAGTAAGAAGTTTCTTATGAGAAATATTTGAATATCCAGTGGCTAAGTAAATATTGTAATATATATCAGCATGTAATTCTGTATATACATGTGGAGTATTAAAAAAAACTAATGATGAGTTGTTCAACCAAAAACCAGGTTTTAATAATATTTGCAGCATTTTATTAATGCCAGGTATGATTTTTAGAAATTTTCTTTGTTTCCTGAACCACCTGTGCAAAAAAAAAAAAAAATTGCCCTTAGCCTCTTTGCCTTTCTTGTCTTTGAATTGATCTCTCTTTTATGAGTTTGGAATAAGGAAAAAATGATATGTGCGGACCAATTTAAATAATACTTAAACTTGGTGTCTATATTTTAAACTTAAAAACCATGGTGTTAACTTTCAGATGTGACTATTCATCTGCCTTCCTTTATGCTAATCATGTGCCTTGGGCTTTCTGAGCCTTGGATCTTCATGCTCCTCAGTGTTTTTCCAGGCATGTCAGTGAGGCTCTTTATGTTACCTAATTGTCATTATCAACCATTTAACTATATAGTGCAAGTGTTTTAACATTGCACTTACGTTTATACCTTGGGGCTACAAAGAGGAAAACATTCAAGCTTTTAAGAATTAAATCACCTAGAAATAATGGTTACAATTTCATCATGAGAGGCAGGTATGATGGTAGCAGGTCGTCTTTAATGCTCTAATGGCAGTCACTAAATTTTGTGAATAGCAAGTATTTGGCACCTCTTTTAAAAAATTCTAAAATCGGTTTTATTCTGTTTTTCCGATTCTGTTGTCAAATAGTAATTCCTTGTGTTAACAGTGCTGCAGGACACATTTCATTTCAGCATAAGTGTGTGTGTTTGTGTAGATGTGTGTTGTATTGTGTATGTTCATTGACTATGTGTTAGGACCTTTATGGTTTGGAGAGGACATGATTTTTCCAGTTGTCTCTTTGGTTTGAGAGCAGAAAACAAATGAGTGTACTGATTTGATCTTTCAAGTTATGTTTTAATTCTGTTTTGCTCAAAAAAAAAAAAAAAATGAGTTGGAAGTCAGTTTCCTTTGCTCAGCCACAGTTGGGTTAAGGCTACACAGCGTTGCTAGGGCAGGTATTGCTGTAGCATGTACCATGGAGGGTCAGGCATAGACACATAAGGTGTGGATCCCAAGTGTTCTGAGCCAGTCCACCCCTACCCTCGCACCCCCTTCCCCCATTGGCTTTTGGCTCAATTTTCTTTGTAAAGTAAGGATTTCTATATGCTGTAATTTCAATATTCTCCCAGAGTTACTGGTTAACTAAAACTTCTGTTCAGCCCATATTGATGGCTGTTTTTGTTTCAAGGTGTGCACCATGACTGACACAAGGGGATGGTCAGCAGTAGACAGAATCTGAATTTCAGGATAAAATGTCTCCTCATAGTCCTTAGTCCACTCCTCTTCTAGAGTTTTTTTTCCCTGTCCAAAAGAAAGGATGCTGCTGCTGCTGCTGCTGCTGCTGCTGCTGCTGCTGCTGCTGCTGCTGCTGCTGCTGCTGCTGCTGCTGCTGCTGCTTCTTCTTCTTCTTCTTCTTCTTCTTCTTCTTCTTCTTCTTCTTCTTCTTCTTCTTCTTCTTCTTCTTCTTCTTCTTCTTCTTCTTCTTCTTCTTCTTCTTCTTCTTCTTCTTCTTCTTCTTCTTCTTCTTCTTCTTCTTCTTCTTCTTCTTCTTCTTCTTCTTCTTCTTCTTCTTCTTCTTCTTCTTCTTCTTCTTCTTCCTTTCTTTCTTCTTCTTCTTCTTCTTCTTCTTCTTCTTCTTCTTCTTCTTCTTTTTAATTCATTTTGGTTTTGGGGTACATGCGAAGAACATGCAAGATTGTTGCATAGGTACACACATGGCAGTGTGGTTTGCTGCCTTCCTTCCCCTCACCTGTATCTGTCATTTCTCCCCATGCTATCTCTTCCCACCTCCCCACCCCCCCATCCCTCCCCCATTTCTTCCCAACAGACCCCAGTGTGTAGTGCTCCCCTCCCTGTGTCCATGTGTTCTCATTGTTCAACACCCGCCTATGAGTGAGAACATGCGGTGTTTGATTTTCTGCTCTTGTGTCAGTTTGCTGAGAATGATGGTTTCCAGGTTCATCCATGTCGCTACAGAGGATGCGAACTCATCGTTTTTGATGGCTGTGTAATAGTCCATGGTGTATATGTACCACATTTTCCCTATCCAGTCTATCATCGATGGGCATTTGGGTTGGTTCCAGGTCTTTGCTATTGCAAACAGTGCTGCAATGAACATTCGTGTGCATGTGTCCTTATAGTAGAATGATTTATAATCCTTTGGATATATACCCAGTAATGGGATTGCTGGGTCAAATGGGATTTCTATTTTTAGGTCATTGAGGAATCGCCACACTGTCTTAATTTACTTTGGGCAGTATGGCCATTTTCATGATGTTGATTCTTCCTAACCATGAACATGGAATGTTTCTCCATCTGTTTGTGTCCTCTCTTATTTCGTCGAGCAGTGTCTTGTAGTTCTCCTTGAAGAGGTCCTTTACGTTCCTTGTTAGCTGTATTCCTAGGTATTTTATTCTCTTTGTAGCAATTGTGAATGGCAGTTCGTTCTTGATTTGGCTCTCTTTAAGTCTGTTACTGGTGTATAGGAATGCTTGTGATTTTTGCACGTTGATTTTGTATCCTGAGACTTTGCTGAAGTTGTTTATCAGTTTGAGGAGATTTTGGGCTGAGACGATGGGGTCTTCTAGATACACAATCATGTCATCTGCAAATAGAGACAATTTGATTTCCTTCTTTCCAATTTGAATACCCTTTATTTCTTTTTCTTGCCTGGTTGCTCTGGCTAGAACTTCCAGTACTATATTAAATAGGAGTGGTGAGAGAGGGCATCCTTTTCCAGTGCCAGATTTCAAAGGGAATGCTTCCAGTTTTTGCCCATTCAGTATGATACTGGCTGATGGTTTGTCGTAAATAGCTTTTATTATTTTGAGATACGTTCTGTCAATACCTAGTTTATTGAGGGTTTTTAGCATAAAGGGCTGTTGAATTTTGTCAAAGGCCTTCTCTGCATCAATTGAGATAATCATGTGGTTTTTGTCTTTGGTTCTGTTTATGTGGTGAATTACGTTTATGGACTTCCGTATGTTGAACCAGCCTTGCATCCCTGGGATGAATCCTACTTGATCATGGTGGATGAGCTTTCTGATATGCTGTTGCAATTGGCTTGCCAGTATTTTATTGAAGATTTTTGTATCTATGTTCATCATGGATATTGGCCTGAAGTTTTCTTTTCTTGTTGAGTCTCTGCCGGGTTTTGGTATCAGGATGATGTTTGTCTCATAAAATGATTTGGGAAGGATTCCCTCTTTTTGGATTGTCTGGAATAGTTTCAGAAGGAATGGTACCAGCTCCTCTTTGTGTGTCTGGTAGAATTCGGCTGTGAACCCATCTGGACCTGGGCTTTTTTTGGGTGGTAGGCTCTTAATTTCTGCCTCTACATCAGACCTTGTTATTGGTCCATTCAGGGTTTCGGCTTCTTCCGGGTTTAGGCTTGGGAGGATGCAGGTGTCCAGGAATTTATCCATTTCTTCCAGGTTTACTAGTTTATGTGCATAGAGTTGTTTGTAATAATCTCTGATGATGGTTTGGATTTCTGTGGAATCTGTGGTGATATCCCCTTTATCGTTTTTTTATTGCATCAATTTGGTTATTCTCTCTTTTCTTTTTTATTAATCTGGTTAGTGGTCTATTTTGTTGATCTTTTCAAAAAACCAGCTCCTGGATTTACTGATTTTTTGAAGTTTTTTGTGTCTCTATTTCCTTCAGTTCTGCTCTGATCTTAGTTATTTCCTGTCTTCTGCTAGGTTTTGAGTTTTTTTGATCTTGCTCCTCTAGCTCTTTCAATTTTGATGATAGGGTGTCAATTTTAGATCTCTCCATTCTTCTCATGTGGGCACTCATTGGTATATATTTTCCTCTAGAGACTGCTTTAAATGTGTCCCAGAGATTCTGGTATGTTGTGTCTTCGTTCTCGTTGGTTTCGAAGAACATCTTTATTTCTGCCTTCATTTCATTGTTTATCCAGTCAACATTCAAGAGCAGATTGTTCAGTTTCCATGAAGCTGTGTGGTTCTGAGTTAGTTTCTGCATTCTGAGTTCTAACTCGATTGTACTGTGGTCTAAGAGACTGTTATGATTTCCGTTCTTTTGCATTTGCTGAGGAGTGATTTATTGCCAATTACGTGGTCAATTTTAGAGTAGGTGTGATGTGGTTCTGAGAAGAATGTATATTCTGTGGATTTGGGGTGGAGAGTTCTGTAAATGTCTATTAGGTTTGCTTCTTCCAGGTCTGAGTTCAGGTCCTGGATATCCTTGTTGATTTTCTGTCTGGTTGATCTGTCTAATATTGACAGTGGGGTGTTAAAGTCTCCCACTATTATTGTGTGGGAGTCTAAGTCTCTTTGTAAGTCATTAAGAACTTGCCTTATGTATCTGGATGCTCCTGTATTGGGTGCGTATATATTTAGGATCGTTAGCTCTTCTTGTTGCAGTGATCCTTTTACCATTATGTAATGTCCTTCTTTGTCTCTTTTGATCTTTGTTGCTTTGAAGTCTATTTTATCAGAGATGAGAATTGCAACTCCTGCTTTTTTTTGCTCTCCATTTGCTTGGTAGATCTTCCTCCATCCCTTTATTTTGAGCCTTTGTGTATCCTTGCACAAAACTAAGGACTGTTGGTGCATGCTTGTTCAGAGCTTGGTGTGGCAGAGTGTACCTCAATAAGCCACACCTTCAGCTCCTCATCCACCATGAAGTCAAAGCAGAAGAGCTGGAAGCTCTGGTAAGGGAGGTGCTTGGTGCTAATGGCAGGTTCCACGCTCAGGAGGCAGTTCCTTATTATATGTTTGATTTGTAGTAAGATGGTACTTTCTAGGGTAATGTTCAAAGCACTTGTTAGGTACTGATTGAACTCCTTGAAGAACATTTCATTTCCTTCTTCATACTTCCCATAGTTCTTTGAGTACTCTTTTTGAATGCAGTGATTGGTCAAATGGCAGGTTTTGTCTTGGAAATTATCAACATGATATGGTTCTGAGGCAGTCCGAAGCACACCATCTCTGTAGAGGTAGATAGTATACTGATGATCCACCAAGACCCAGCTTCGAATGTCAAACTTGCGATGACCTGGCTCAAGCAGCAGAGGGTGCTCAAGATACTTCTGTATTACATGCACTTGGCCCTGGTTGTCTATGAAATCGAGAAGCTCTGAAGCCTCTGAGGAGATGAGAATGCCTTCACCTTTGGCATCAGCTGATGACTTTGCAATCCAAACGTTGCCCTCCCCATCCTCTTTCTTTCTGTTATAAGAAGAGAGGAAGAATTCTCTTTCATCTGTCCTTGAGTTATTGATCAGTGGCTGAATTCCATTCTGTGCTGGAGCAGCTGGGGTCTTGAGAATGGTTGGATAAATCACATAGGACTCAAGGAACCATGTGCAGGACTCAGCCAGTTCTGGGCTTGTCTTGATTAGCTTCACTAAAGAAGCTTTGCGACACAGTTTGTCAGCACCCCTGTAGTAATTCACCAACTGTACCAGCCCGGGCTCGTGACCCAGTCTCCCGAAGGGCAGCTGGTTCTTCTCTCCCAACATCAAGTTGAACCTGGGGTTGTCTCGCCGCAGCCTCTTCCAGTAGCCGGTGGTGAGGAGCAGCCGGGAGACCTCGGCGTAGACGCTGCTGTTCTCATCGCGCACGACGAAGGTGTACATGGCGAAGGGACACGCGCCCGGGCCTCCGGGCAGCCGCTGCAGGGACCAGCTGGCCGAGGCAGCAGCGACCGCGACCCCGCCCGGGCGCCCGCTGCGGCCCGGCTCCCGCTGCCCGCGCCGGCAGCCGCGCCTCTCCAGTGCCGGCGGCGCTGCGCCCGGGTGCCCGCCAGGATGCCTCTTATGCTTGTAAAATGTTTTATGCTTTTCAGGGTTATGTCATATCAATCTCATGTCTGAACCTCACAAAAATTCCTGAGAGTTAGGAGAGGAGATTTTGGATTCTTATTTCTCAAATGAGGACACTGAGAAAAAGGGAGCTTTAGAGCATGCTAGAGATCATAGAGCCAGTCCTCGATGGAACAGGGATTGAGGCCTCCTGGTATTCCTGTCTGCTATAATATGCATGCAGTTTCAAAATAGGGTTTTACTTCTCTCCATAACATATTTGGGATGTGTTTACCTGTTTTCATTGTTAGGAAAGTTAATCATTCTCTTCTCATTGAAAAGAAAAGCCAACCCATCCCCACCTCCTCCTCTCCCCTTGTCCTTGTCTGTCCCTGTCTCTCTGTGTCACACACACACAAGCTCAACACGGAGCCTGGGTCTGTTCATTTGAGGAGAGTTGCGGAAGTTTAGAATGTAGTCATTCCAGGTGCCTTTGGAATCATCAACGAAAGCGTGAATCATGTTTGTTGTATTTTAATACCAAGGAGGTTTTGGTTTTAGGTTTCAAAAGTTGGTGATCCGTACTTGTTATAAATAATGACTAATAAGCAGATGTTTACTAATCAAAATCTTTTGATTCTTTTTAATTAAACTCTTGATTTCTCTGGGGTTTACCAACCTGCAGAGGGAATGGCATTGTCTTTTAAAATTCTGCATTTGTATACAACAACTGTGTTCTAATATAAATACTTTTAGCTACCTTCACGTATATCATGGGAATGCCTGTCATCATTTGTTAGACTCCTTAGGTCTTACTGGCCAATTTGAAGTTCTTGGAGAAATCTTTAGCAATAGATTTCCTTTAGGTATTTACCACTAAGTAAACTGTCGCTAAAGATGATTGGAGCAAATGGTTCTTGGTGCTCCCTCTAGGTGTTTCTGATGCTTTTCTTTGGAATAAATTGATTGCTGGGTGATTTTTGTGTGACAGGAGTATATCAGGCGACAGCTAGAAGAGGAGCAGCGGCACTTGGAAGTCCTTCAGCAGCAACTGCTCCAGGAGCAGGCCATGTTACTGGTAACGCCCCACCTCTGTCTCATTCCGTAGCATCAGGGCTCGTTCATCCCTCCCCTAAGTCGGGAAGCTGTGGTGGTCACTAGGCCATTTTGGTTTTGCTGTGGGCAGCCAGGCTCAAAAGAGATGCCCATTTTACAGTCATATTGCTAGCACATTGCAAAGTGGTCTTTAGTTCTCTTTAGTAAGTTAATTGTTCTCCTTTGGTAGATACAAGGTTTTGAACAGAACTTGGCACTCAGTGAACACACTAGAATACTGAGGGCAGTAGGTTGAAAGCCCATGCCACGGGATTTTTACCTAGTATCTATACCACTAAACCTGACATTTAATTGAATTCTCTCTTACTCTGTTCATTATATTACGGTTAGCAACAGCTGTCAAATTTTTCCACAGGTAATGTGCTATTTAAAATCCCAGCCATTTTGCTTTCTTACAAAAGACAGGGGGAAATGTATGGTCACTTTTTTTAAAAAAAGCTGAACAAATCCAGAGAAGAGGTGAGCTCTCCAGTGTCCCATAGATTTAGTGTTATCCTCTCCCTCTCCAAGGAGTGCCGATGGCGGGAGATGGAGGAGCACCGGCAGGCAGAGAGGCTCCAGAGGCAGTTGCAACAAGAACAAGCCTATCTCCTGTCTCTACAGCATGACCATAGGAGGCCGCACCCGCAGCATGCGCAGCAGCCGCCACCACCGCAGCAGGAAAGGAGCAAGCCAAGCTACCACGCTCCCGAGCCCAAAGCCCACTATGAGCCTGCCGACCGAGCACGAGAGGTATCCTCTTTCCTTTGTCACTTAGACATTGCCCTGGAAAGTCGTACAATGACTCTTCAGAACTGTGTCATATGAATTCTAGAATGGGCCATAGAGGTCAGCTAATTACCTATTTTCTTTGTTTTCTAACTAGGAAATTGAGTTTCAGAGAAGTGGAGGGCCTTGCCCAAGGTTTCATATCCAGTCAGTGCTTTTTCCATAAAGGACCAGAGTGCCTCAGTTAACATATCCCAAAAGAACTTAAAATGGAACTAAACAAAAAGAAGAGGACGTAGCACAGTTACTTTTAAAAATATGAATGAGAACAATTGTGGTCTGGTTAGCTCTTCTCCCAAACTAGTATGAAGCTAAAGTGAGGCTGTGGCTCAACTTACTGACTTTGCAGATGTCAGGATGTACTGTTAGATTGATATATTAGGGCTAGCCAGAGCCTCAGAGTAGGCTGCAGGAGGGACTGGTTGGGGGTGCGAGGTGGGTGACAGGTATGCTTCCAGAGGTGTTGAGTCCTGGCCCACAGGTGGCGGCAGCCTTCTGTTGTGTCTGCCCTCACAGGCAGCAGATTCTAGAAACAGATATTCTGTTTGTTCTGGAGTGCTTTTATTTTTGGCGGAGTGAGATGCATTCTGGATTTCTGATGGTATTTTTTTAATCTGTTTGGTTAGTTGCTTGTAACAGATTTTTTTCTACTTTATCATCATATACAGTCCTAGAATTCTGATAAAGGAGGAGAGCTTAGAGACTGCCTTGCTAATTTTTATCTTCATAAGTATTTTCTTTTTCCTGAATGTAATTGTAGCACTGCTTTATCTACCTTCTTTTTTTTTTCCAGCTGCTCCTCTCTTTTCTTGTAGCAGAAGAAAACAGAAAACTTCTCTTTAGATGTCTTCCACTTTCAGATTTTCTTTGATATTTCTGCTTTCCCCCTACTAACACTGAGTTATGTCTTCTAATTCTCTGATACAGGTGGAAGATAGATTTAGGAAAACTAACCACAGCTCCCCTGAAGCCCAGTCTAAGCAGACAGGCAGAGTATTGGAGCCACCAGTGCCTTCCCGATCAGAGTCTTTTTCCAATGGCAACTCCGAGTCTGTGCATCCTGTCCTGCAGAGACCAGCGGAGCCACAGGTAGCGACAGCCAGCTTTGCTGTGGTTGACTCATGCAATGGCTTGCCAAGCCACAGGCTTGCTGTAACATCACAGTTTAGTTTGTCACCACATTGGAAAAAGAAGCGAGATTAGCAGGAGTGACTTTAGACTAAAAGAAGACATACACTCAATTGATAGAGAAAGATCTTTTTCTTTCCTTTTTTATTTTTTGAGATTTTGTGTACTCATTAAGAGTATTGAGTGATTTCTTCTAACCATTTGCCTTCCCTAACTCAGGTGTTAAGGGCCTCTTTTTTCTAATACGAAGATCTTTTAGTTTAGTGAGGAAGAGCCAGAAATTTTCTCTCAAGTATTTTAAAAGTAAGTGCTTTACTCTGTGATTCCTTGCCCTTGGCCAGTTCTATGAACGGGCCTTAGATGATACCCCTGAAATTCCACACAAAATGTCTTTATTTGTTCAAATGTTCATTTTTCCAGGGGGGTAGGGGCGGTGGGAGTGGGATGACCTTTTATCAGATTGTCAAAGGGTTCAAGAACCAAAAAAGTTTAGATCTAGTGGGTTAGGTGTAGATTTCTCTGAAATAGGCCAGGGAAAAGGCTATGACCTCTCCTTGGGTCTGCTGCAGCGTTCTAGATCTGCTTTAGCAACTATTGGGCTGATGCCTCATGGCTGGAGCAGAACCCACTGTGCTGTCCTTAGAGGAGAGCAGGCAACAAAGATGACTGCCAAAGATCTTAGAGATCCTTAAAATGCCGATTTCTACTCTCTTGCTGAAAATTAGTGACTTTTTCCTACTTGCCACTCCGTAATCCAGAATATTAGGAATAAGTTCTTAAGCTTGAGTTTACTTTTCACTGGTGTTTGCCTGTATGGGGACAAAAGTTTATGTTCTTGTGACAGGAAACTGTGGGATCTGCAGCACAGAGGAGTTAAAAAAAAAAAAAAAAAGCCAGGCATGGTGGTTCACACCTGTAATCCCAGCACTTTGGGATGCCAAGGCGGGTGGATCACTTAAGGTCAGGAGTTAGAGACCAGCTTGGCCAACATGGCAAAAGCTCATCTCTACTAAAAATACAAAAATCAGCCGGGCATGGTGGTGGGTGCCTATAATCCTGGGTACTCGGAAGGCTGAATCAGGAGAATGGCTTGAACCCAGGAAGTGGAGGTTGCAGGTTGCAGTGAGCTGAGATGCATCACTGCACTCCAGCCTGGGTGACAGAGCAAGACTCCATCTAAAAAAAATAAATAAATAAAATCTAGGACTGAGGCTAGGGGGCATGTTAGGGTGAGTCGGTATTTCCATAGGACCAGCAGTTTCTTGAGTCCCAGGAGAGCTGGCCTGCTAGTAGTTGAGCAGCTCCAGAAAGGAAGAGAGAGAAAAGAAGGAGGAAAGCAGGAGAGGATAAATGGACACAATTAAAAAGGGAAGAGAAGAGAGACTACTAAGATAGGTCTGAGAACTCAGTTCTTTAACAACTTTGTACTGCTTAAAGATTATTGGATAAAAGTTTTCACACTGAAAGTTAAACTTGCCATAAATGGAGAATCTTTGTCTATTTGGCCACTAATAGTTTCGACAATAGGAGTTTCTGAATTAGCTATACTAATTTTTACATTTGTCATGAATTTGTTTATTGCCTAGAAAGAGTCTCCCATTTCCTCCTCCTGTTCATTATTTGGGGGAAACTTTTCTCATGTAGGACTCTATTTTAAAACTCTTTTTATTACAATTTCAGATAATACTTTGGAATTACATGCATTACCTCTAAAAATCTTAGAAGTCTAGGATTATACCAGTATCTGGTATTATACAAATCTCACCTGTATATTGTAGAACTCATACACCAGAACTAATTTCACATTTTGTATTTGGAAGGGT